CGAATAAAATATATTTTTTTTCACTTATCTTGCAGCTCGAAACAAAATCGCAACATGACTGGATCAGGGATGCGTTTACATATTTTATAGAAACTATTAACAGAATTGGTGTATCAAATACTTACATGATACCAAACATAACTAGCTTAGAATAAATAAAGATATTTTGAATGATTGTAGCACACATTGAATTCCAAACCATAAAAAAATCATCCTTCCCGCTGTAAAATAATTGCTCCTCCTAATTATGCTGGTTTTTCAGCAATATGCTGTCACTTTATTGACAGACCATTTTACTGGTTATCCAGCGAAATTATTTTGCTGGACGGATTGCTGAACTTCCAGCTCGGCAAAATCCAGCAAAATTTTGCTGGTTTACGGCAACAAAAATTGGGTGTGTATGCTTCATTTCAACGGTAATAACCTCTGATTGTCCTCAACATGTTGAGGGTTTGGTGGATCGATAGGTAAGTTCACCTATACGCCTCCACGAGATGGTAGAGAATCTCCTTCTTGCAACATGATCATACAATTGGTCAAAAAACGAGCCGTCAGACAGAGGGATACTCCAATGAGTATAAAGAAGAACCCGCCCTTTTTCCACGAGATGTTAACAGCAGGGAGTTGACAATGTCCCTCTTCCCATCCAAATCGCTTCAATCGGGTGCTCTGATGGTCCCTCCCAATCCCAGCATTGTTTTGTATTCAGGGGAAATGTCTCTAATGTTGGCCTATGGATCTAAGATTGGGCCCATCGCTAAAAATCTGCTATTTATCAATTTTATCTAGATGAACGCGTTATTGGGATGTTACTAATGGATATTTTTGGTTGCTGTTGATTGCTGAATTAATGTATGGGCCCAAATTAGGGACACTTAGGCCGACATTACCTGCATTTCCCCTATGAGAAATAATAAAAATTAAAAATTTTCAACGATCTTATCAACATTCGCTGTTTCTTCACCTTTCTGTCCAATTTTCGTTCCTATTTGTGAACTCATTGTAGTTCTGCGAATTGAGTAGGATTTCTCTTAAAATAGTAGAAAGTGGGGTTACTCAGTGAGCGAGTAGTTCCCGACTAATGAGAGTAACTCAAAATTGAGTCGAGTTTGTCCTCGATTTTCCAAGAAAAACTTCTTGAATATCGTGGAACCCCGTTGAATAGCAAAAATTCCTTTGAACGGCGCTCACTTTGAATTTGTTTAACCGATACCCCTTCAGTTTCCAACATGAATTTGACTCAGGTACTGAGCTACTTTTACCAGCCGTGTCTGGGTAAATTTTATCTAGATTTTTGTCATATTTGAATAGATTGTTGAGAAAAACTTTACACACTCAGTGAGTAACCCCACATTCTACAATTTTAAGTGAAATGTTCAGTGATGTTATATCATGGTGGATAGAAGGGGTGACCCTCCAGGGCAGCTAGTTATTGAAAATAAACATTTTTTATAATTATTTCCTATAGAGCGCAATGGTTTGCTAAAGTCGAAAGCTCGACTAGATAGAGGGTTGCTGTCAATACGACCTATTGAGTAGTGGACAGCTCAGTTCTGAATTCTCCGATGGTTGCTGTTTTTGGCAAAGTTGATCAGATTTATAAGACCTATTGTATGGTGACCAGTTTATTTGAACATTTCCTCAACAGGCGGCAATAGTGCTGCCTTTGGTCGAGTTGTTCAGATGCACAAGCCTTATTGGATGGCGCACGGTTTAGTTCAGAATGCTGTCACCAGGGAAGTAAGTGTGCCTTGGAAATAATGATTCATTAAATCGAAATTTTGATCAGTTCTTCTTATTCTTTATATTTATTACGTCCCAACTGGATCTTTGTTATTGTCTTCAACTTTCATTTAATCGGTAACGTATTGGCTTGTAACGTATTGACTTGTAACGTATTGATTTATCAGTACACGATTTGCAACTTTCTTCTTTTATAATGTTTGCAAATTTATATACAGCCCTATGTCTTGTGTTAAAGGATAGATCAGTTCAAAGACACACAAATATTGAATTACAGCGTTCACTATTTGATAGATTTTTGTTTGAGCACCCACTCGAATGAGATTAAGTTTTATCGGTCATAAATCTGCAACATCAAAATGTAATAATATGATGTGACGTACTTTGAAGTATTTTAAACCGGTTTATTACTGTAAATAAACATTATTCAGTAGGTTGTAACCTTATTCTAAATGGGATAGGAACTGAAATTTGTAATATGAAAATTTTATTCAATTAAGGATATTAAAAGTCGCCTAATTTCAAAACTTTGAATAGCATGTTTGTTCATTTTAGAATTCAATTTATAGATCAATTTTTTTGACGTAGGACTACGTCTGTAATTTCTATATGGGGGTACACTTTGTGAAAACCGAAAATGGAATATGTAACAAATTATGAAAGATTTTGAACGTTAATAACTCAGCTGCCCCTGGACCAATTTCAATAATTTTATCATTAATCGAATAGAAATATTTCTACGCATCTGATAAATTTAAGACTTTATCATTTTTCAAAATGTTACTATTGAAAATTGCAAGAATGTTCAACTGTTGCTTTGATACTTAAAATTATTACCGTTTGCTTGCAAAAGGCGATTTTCATTTCCCTAACACAGATTTCAAAGTTGAATTCCATACGGTCTCACCATATGGTGTTTATTCAATCACCGCGTAGTGAGTGGTGGTGTTCTCCAGTACACAACGAAAGGCTCCCCGCAAGCAGCTAGCTACCAAAGCTGGCTTTAATCGCTGATCGGATTCAGTTCCAATCACCGTGTGTGGTGGTGTCCGGTCGTCGACATCAGCAGCAGCAGTGTTATCGGCGCGTGGTGTTGATAATTGTTCTCCAGCACAACGAAAGGCTGCCTGGAAGCAGTGAGCTGCAGCCCACATGAGCATACATAGAAGGAGGAAGAAGCCGCACCGCTATTGATCGGAATCAGTAGCTCTTCGTGAGTCACTGTGGGCCATCTATGCCCAGCGCGTCACGCTCATTCCAAACAACATACAGCTCACCAGCCTCATCTGTGTTTAACACCCTAATAGCTCAGCATTACTAAACCATAAAGACAAAACGGACCACCATAAATTTGTAAAAGAGTATTTTTGGACATTCGTCAAGGTCACCAATCGGATGTCAGTTCTCATATCCAGATATTTAGTACTGTAATTAGGGCGTAACAGCCCTTGAAATTTAAGGCTTGCTCATGCAAATCAACATCACTTTTGTGTAGGGTATGACTTCCTCAACCCGTTGATAATATTAGTTTGCATGGGCATGCCTTGAATTCCTAAAAATCATAGAGAGAAGTCATTGTTTGCTAAAGCTGTTACGCCTAATTTCACCTCTATCTAGATATGTTTAAATCTAACAAACCATGTACTTTAAGGCAACATTAGGGGTCGCGGCATGAAAGTGGTCTGATTTTGATCCAGAGATGATGGATTTTAATTCTTAATACGCCAATCGATGGGAATATTTTCTACAAATCTGCTAAAATTAAGACTATCATTTTTCAAAATGTCACTATTGAAAGTTTAATGGATGTGCAACTGTTGCTATGATTGTTAAAATTATCACCGATTGTCTTCCTTAACACAGATTTCAAAGTTGAATTCCAACCGGTCTCACCAAACGCTGTTTTTTCAATCACCGCGTGGTGAGTGGTGGTGTTCTCCAGCACATAACGAAAGGCTGGCTGCAAGCAGCGAGCCACAGCCCACATGAGCATCCATAGAAAGAGGAAGAAGCCGCATCTATGTCAACCGCGTCATACTAAAGAGTATAAACAGAACCCCGTTCAAATTCCTATTCCTACACAAAATGCAAGCTCCCGCTGCAGTTAACGAATAAGCTTGATTATATAATACCACGTAGACCTTCGTCACCATTGCGTACAACCCCATAGGGCTGTCCCTTGTAGTTTTTTGTTATTATCATTACAATAAGCAAAAACAAACAATATTGTAGTCCTACATCAATAACGTGGTCGTGCTTGTTCTAAATTGTAACAATCGTTATTACAAAAATCTGTGCAGCAAAATAACACAAGATATAATAAACTTGCTTTGCTTTTCTGGTCGTGTAGTTCAGCGCTCAACGAAGAATCTCGATCTACAGTGAAAATCGAACGAATCCGACAACTCGCACCAATTCACCGCTCGTTTCGGATACTGAAATCGTTTGAGTGAACATTATCGATTTTTTTTAAATACATGAGTGACATGAGCTCCAGGTTATTAACCTTTCAGTACTCACACCGTTGTACAAAGTATAACATGAAAAAAATATAAACACCTACTGACTTTGGAATTGATCTGAAGTCGAGACATTTTTCAACCCGAAAAGTGCTTAGATCGGACCGGGAATCTAACCCAGCTTCTTCCAGCATGGTCTTGCTTTATTCCTTTACCTTTACCGACTGAGCTAAGAGAGGCCCCTCGTGTGATTTATGCCAGTTTGGTTTAGTTTTCTCTATTTAGAGGCTATCATCGACATTTTTTCAGTCAGTTTGAGGTTTACATAGTCAAGATGTAAGACCCATGAATATCATACCCAATGATTATGTATGAGTGCATGTATGTCTTCAATCACCGCATTGTTTTTAAACGCATTTCAAGAGCTATGAAAAGCACACTAGCATTGAAAAGATACCAAAGGTTAGTTTCTAAAATTACAGGTTCATGCTTCTGAATATAACTTTTCCTCTATAACCAAAACAAACCTTTAAATTTCAACTACATTAAGGTGGGCATGCATAGCCCATATTGATAAGGTCGGTTCCTGCCATGTTGGAAAAAAAAAATGTTTTCAGTCCTACGTGGAATATGGAACACCTGCAATGGTTGGAAAATCTAAAGCACCATCAAATGGCTGGCATGAGGTATGATTGTAATATATTTTTCACCCAACGCAGCACCGAAAATTTTCCAAATTTATAAACATGGCAAGTGAACCATACACACCATCATCTGCTGGCATCATACATCACCTACCTATTACGTTCAGATGCACGAAATGGCTCATGTGTGGCGTAGTCGAGATCTGACACTCGTATATGCCAGAGTCTCGGTGCTGCGGATACTTGATCTGCAGGCTCCAGTCTTCTGTGTGTGGATGATGTATCGCCCGAAAGCGTTGATCGGAGGTGTATGTGTAGCGACCGACGGTGAGCAGATGAATGTCCCGGTGCCTTACCCAAGACACTTGCAGCAACATCTGAAACGGGAGAAGCAAACAAAGAAAGCGTCATGAAATAACGAGAACCAGAAATAATGAACAGTCCATGGGTGGGTGAGGGGAGATAAAATGTATGTAAGCTACATGATATCATTAAGCCTGCCCAAGTGATGACACCTCCGTAAAAAAATATGTGTGAGATGTGAAATTTTATCTCATGACATGAGTCCGCTTTCAGACACAGTTGCCATCTAAAGACAACAAATAAATCATATGAAGCGCTGCAAATGTTAGGCCTTTTTCAGTTGGTACGTGACTCCAGCATGTATTTGGCTTGAATTCTAATAATTTTGAAGCCACATGCTACGTTTTTAATTGTTAGCATTTTGCATTATACCACTGAATTAATCAAACCAATTAAAAAACTTAAATCCAACGCACCCTGAAAATATAAAGCACTCATGCTTGAGTCTGCAATCTTCACAAAGTCACGAATATAGGAGCACTTCATACAAATCTCAATAGAACTCCCCCCACACACAAAACCATTTTTCATCTGCTCCGACCGAGATGGAAACGGGATGAGCTGAGTGCATCTGTTGGTAGTCATTCTCAAAATTGTTTTATTGTCTTCACTCGACCGAAATGCACCGCTCAAGTTTTACTGAAATACGTGCATGCCAAGGAAATGGAGAGCCACTCGTCGAATGCATTGCGCTTCGATGGGTCAAGCTGGCTGTCTCCATCAAGTCGATCCACACACACCGACCGGGAATGACCAGTGAAGTTGGTTTTGGACCAATGGTTAGCTAGCACAGAAATACAGGATGATTATTGAACCGAATGATCCTTTTCAATCTGGAATGACGATGACAACGACGACGAAGTGGTTACGCTTTTACAGATAACAAATGGAAGTGGATGAATTCATGCGATAAAACTGAGGTTTGGTAAGTGAGAGGCATTGGCTGATATGTGGTGTGGAACTCAGTTCTGAGCCATCATTAACGTTGATTTGAAACAACAGAAGTGCAAATTCAATGTTGGTTTGCATTTCAGGATGAATCATATTTTAAGCGCAATTCTCATCAACCTTTTTGTGTGTAACCAGATAGATTTTATAATTAATTTGTCACCGTGACATTATGTTGAGTAGCATATGTTTTGGCTTAGGGATACTTAAATTACCATAAAATATATTTTTTAAGTTCCATCCTTTCTGTCAAAACTGAATTCCGGTTCGATTAAAATTAGCTAAATTTTATAAGTGTGTGGTTTTGACAACAATGCTATTTTTTATATTTTCAATCGAGAGTTGCGGTTCAGGTTCGCGTCGAGATCGGTTGTAATATAGATACTATAGATTCCATAGATAAGCGGAGGAAAAGTAAAATGTAGCCAAACGAACTGTCAGTTAGTGTAGCCAAACGAGCATGACGTCATCATGGTGTTGTTTGAGGGAGAAGTATTGTAATATTATGAGCACAAAACGCTTTCCACGCTCCACATTCAGATTTATTTCGCGGACAACGGATGAAGGAAAGATAAAGCAAACCATTCCTCGATGCATTGTTACAAATATTTGAGAGCTCTATGATGGCATGAACTTTTTTCACGGATGTCAGTAAGATCACTTATTTTTCATGGTTGCCAAAACAACTTGTTGTGCCTCCGCTTATCTATGGAATATATAGTATCTATAGGTTGTATCAACGTTCGCTCTCCGCTTGTTGTGTGCTTTGTGTCTGAATCCAGCGTTGCAAGGTCTTTTTTAGAAAAAAATTAACCAGTCAAATTATAAACAATTTCCTTGGCACACTCTTCATAATGACCGTCACACTCTTCTCAGACTTATCCGATTATGCTCTTTGAACTTACTGGTAGATACAGTCAGAATTGTTTTGAAATCCTCTTCAGTATTTCCTAGTATTCAAGTAAGTTGAAGATTTTTTTTCAGCCAATAATCTTTAGAAAATTTTTCAATTTTAATGATTCTGCAACCCATTTTGGATCAACATGTTGTAACAATTCCATGTACAATGTTGCAATAATATCCAACGCGAATGGCCTTCAATAATTAAAATAGTTAGTTGCTAGTAGCTTTGTTATTTTTTGATTAGAGGGTTCAGCAATTGCAGTGATATTTTTAAAGCAACATATTTAAAAAATCGTTAAAAAAATTTAACACAGAGGAAATGGAGGTAATGTCGGCCTATATGCCCCTAATTTGGGCCCATACATACATTCAGCAATCGATTAAATTTTCAATGGCGACCAAAAATATCCATCCAATGACGCGTTCATCTAGATAAAATGGATAAATAGCGGATTTTTAGCGATGGGCCCAATCTTTGATCCAGAGCCATTTCCTATAGTTAAACATCTGGAAAAAATGCTATTTATTAATTTTATCTAGATGAACGCGTCATTGGGACTGTACTAATGGTTATTTTTGGTCGCCTTTGAAAATGTAATCTATTGCTGAATTTATGTATGGGCCCAAATTAATGGCATTTAGGCCGACATTACATCCATTTCCCCTACGTGATCGGTCTGTGTATCTGGCAAGACGACTGAAAATCTGGAAAACCAAGATATATCTGGAATACTGGCAACGCTGTCTGAATCGATCACTTTCATCCAATTCGTGCTAACGTTCTGCCTCCCGGAGGAGCTCTTGTTGAATTTTGGGTTTTATCGATTGTAAGCTGTCGAAAGAAATGCATCGGTTGTTCCCGTACTTGGATCTATAATTGAGCTAGTTTTTGGTTTGCATTGTAAATTTTATCGTGGTTGAAAATGTTTGAAAAGTTGCGAGAAAATTCCACACGGCAGCAATGCCAAAATCTGTTTGCATGTTGCATCAGTACCTACGAGTCCAAACTGTAACTAATAGGTATATCACTCGTTCGTAGGCAATGACTTTAACATAAGCTCTAGCTCAATAGGCTTCGTGGTGTTAGTGACATTTGGAAATGTTTGGTGGTGTTTGTATTTATTCGCAATATTCATCTATTTACCAGCTGTTTGTAGTGACGTCATTGCTTACGAACGAGTGTAATACCCATGAGCTACAGCTTAGACTCGTAGGTATATCACTCACTCGTAGGTACGATATAATGCTTCACATAAAACAAGGAATGTTATGAAAGAAATGATCAGTTAGAAAACAAAGTTTCCTACTATGTGTTATACAAGAAAAGTTGAATCGAAGAATATCTAAAAATGGAACGTAAGTGTTCAATGTGTGGTGTTTGGATGTTGAGTTCGTGTGCCAGAAAAATCACCAATAAATTGTACGATTATGCAGTGGAAAAAAAAAGATTAAAATAGATTTCAGTAGCTCCTTCATTTGTCAACGTTCCTACCACAAACTATATGAACCCAATGATGCCGTGACTGAAGGTACGTTATTTGAAAATTAATGTGATTCTTCTTTAAATTTCAATTCTTTTCTTCAAAATACTAACTTAAACTCTTCTTTTTTTGCAATCATTTTTCAGAGTCCAGCGAAGCAACCAGTATTGAATCGATTGCCGTTGCGGGACCGTCCAGAATGGTTTATTTTCCCTGCCAAGGTAAATAATAAAAAATAAATCATTTGTATGTTTTTTTTTCTAATAATCAATCATTTTTTATATTTATTTTCAGAGTCAGTGGAAACAACCAGTTCTGAATCGATCGTTACCACCTACAACGCACCTTTGTCGGACGAAAATGAATTCCTTATACAACTTAAGGATAAATATAAAGAAACAAGAGGCAGCAATGAGCGATACAGGATTTTAACCACACTTCCCAAAAGTTGGTCTACGTATAGAATTATGAAGGAGTTCAATGTTTCCCAACATATAGCCAACCAAGCAAAAGCACTACAGCAAGAGAAAGGAATAATGTCGGGTAAATGCCGGGTGTAAAGAGGTTAAGCAGAGCTTCATTAGGAGAACAAACGATAATGCTTGTTCGTGATTTTTACATTAGTGACGATATAAGTCGTGTTTGTCCGGGGAAAAGAGATTATTTAATATCTAAAAATGATGAAGGTGGAATGTACATACAAAGAAGATTATTTGTGTGTAACTTGCAAGTGGCGTACTTCAACTTTAAAAATACATATCCTAATATTAAAATAGGATTTTCCATGTTCGCCAGTAACCGTCCGAAACACTGCATTTTGGCAGGGACAAGTGGCACGCATACCGTATGCGTTTGTCTATATCATCAGAACGTTAAACTTAGAGAGTCGAGTTTCAAACGCATTTGGATACGGTTGTGTCTTAAGTTTGTTCTCTGTTTTGTGCGTGCATTCGCTTTCATAGTTTTCGGCTGCATTTGCCGGATTAGCGCTGGCCATCTGCCTCCCGGACGGTTATACGTGTGTGAGTGGTGGCTTTCTCGCTTTCCGAGAAGTTTTAGAATCGAGAAAGAAAACATGATTCATCATGTTTGCAAGCAACAGAAGATTTGACGCTATCTGCGTTGTTTGATTTTTTCTCCCAGTCCAGAAATTTGTGGCATCGCGAGCGATAATTTTAATGTTAGTTTATTTATGCAGTGATGATGTTGGTTCACTCGCAACTATTTTGAAAAAAAAACTAAGTGTTTTCGAACGAAAGTGAACCAAAAGTGCTTCTGAACGTGTTTCGTAGTTGGTTGTGGTGAAATTCGTGCATTCCCGGTTGATTTTGGAAATCCGTATCACAAAATTGCCCACCGATTCCTTTTTTTGCCGTTCGACGACGACGGGTGTGCTTTCGCGAGAGTGACGTTTATTTGATCCGTTTCTTTGCACGGGTGTTTTTTTTTGTAACTAGCTTAAGTGTGCCTGCGATTTGCATTGAGTGTCGGAGATTGCCTCGCTGTATACGCCCAAGACTGGACGGGCAGTAGCTGGTGGCCGTGAACGGTTCCTGGGGAAAGCACTAGATGCGGCCCTCCTCCCAAATGACCATGGTAATACAGGAAGTATTACAACAAAGGTAATTTCTATTAGATATTTTGCATACAGTGACAGATAGCGGACATAAGGAACCAGTGGA